AACAGCACTGGCTGCTCTTGCAGAGGACCTGGGTTTGATTCCCAGCACCCAAAAGGCAACTAACAACTGTTCGTAACTCTAATTCCAGGGGATCCAATGCTCTCTTCTGACCTCAATGAGCATTGTACGAAGGTGCACCTACCTGCATGCAGGCAATGCACTCACACACATAAAATAATAATAAAGACCAAGGTCTTGAGTCCCCTATCAGGAGTGCCTTTCCTGGCCCTAGCCTCATCAGCTTATTTCTATCATGGCTCTCACTAGTATCTGTGACTGCTTTCTGTATTTGTTTACTCTCTCCCACCCCACGTTGTCATTTAAGCATCATGGGAACAACAGTCTTTTAAAATTTTTATTGAATTTTTTGTGTGTGTCATACAGAACTCTGCCTCCCGAGTGCTGGGATTAAAGGCGTGCGCCACCATGCCTGGCCTGAATTTTTTTTTTTAATGTGTATGCGTGTATGGCCTGCATGTAGGTAAGTGCACCCATGTTATGCAATGCCCTTGGAGGACAGAAGAGGCTGTCAGATCCCCTGGAACTGGAGTTACGGACAGTTGTTAGCTATCAGGTGGGTGCTGGGATTTGAACCTGGGTCTTCTGCAAGAACAACCAGTGTTCTTAACCACTGAGCCATCTCTCCAGCCCTGGAAAATTGTTTTTATAACTGCCATTTCAAACAGCACTAAAGTTTTAATAATATTGATGGCACGTATGAAGTGGATGCTATGGTTTGAATAGTTTTGTCCCTCCAAAATTTATGTTGAAGTATTTAACAGTATTAAGAGATGGGGCCTTTTGGAGGTGATGAGGCTAAAGGGCCCTGTCTTTAGAATGGATGTTGTTTAAATAATAAAAAAATAATATGTACTTCATGGAAAACTTCCAACCAAAATCAAAAGGTTCTGGCAAACCTCTTTTGCAGACCTGCCCATTACCATTCTAAAAACAGATCTCTCTTACGATGTGGTGTACTCCCCTACCTTCTTCTCAGTAAGTTCTAAAGGATATATAGCATATATATGATGCATATGTCTGTGTGTGTGCCTGTGTGGTACATACATGTGAGCATGGGGGTGCATGTACCAGTGCACACACATGCAACTGTCAGAGCAGGACATCTAGTTTCTTCCTCTGTAGCTCTCCAAATTACTGCCTGAGGCAGTCTCTCATATATTGAAAGCTTGCTGTTTTGGCTAGGCTGGCTGGCCAGTGAGTTCTTGGGAACCACCTGTCTCTACCTCCTAATGCTGGGGTTACAGGCACCCGAAGCCATTAGCTTTTTATGTGGGTGGTGGGGATTTGAACTCAGGTCCTCATGTTTCCACAGCAAGCACTGTTACAAACTGAGTCATCCCCCAGTCCCCAGGTATATGATTTTAAAACCAAATGCAGTTACACTCATATTCTTCAATAACTTGTTGGTCTCATTTAGCATACGGGGACATCTCTCCACAGCAGCACTCCATTATTTTAACATTGAACAGGATAATTAACAATGTGATAATGGATCCATTCATGTGGTTCAAATGCTTTGCTTATTGCATACAGCTGATTAGTCAGTTGGGACATGCATTTCCATACAGTTGCTTTAACAGCTGTTACAAGACTTACCCACTGGAATGAACTAAGTGGATGTGCTTGCTCAAGGACAGAGTGAAGTAGGAGGAGCCAGAGCCAGAAGTTCAGAAGACGTTTAACCCTGCGCCTCCCTCTCTTACCACCCCCCCATTCTTTGCTCTTCCTTCCCCCCCTCAAAAGTTTGAAGTATAATGTAATAAACTAAATTGTGCCACACTCCAAAATTCATTATGTTAAAATCCTGAGCCCCAGTAACTAAATGTGACTATATTTGGAGATGAGGCCTTTAAAGAGAGAATTAAGTAAAAATGAAGCCGTGGATAGGTGCTCTAATAAAAGGAGGAAGAGACACCATGGATGTAGACAGAAAAAAGGTCCCACACTGAGATTCAATAAGGACAATCATCCACAAACCAAGGAGAGAGGCCATAGGAGAAGCCAACTGCTAGCACCCTGGCCTTGGATTTCCTGCCTCCAGAACCATGAGAAAATGTGTTTCGACTGTTCTAGCTACCTAGGTGGTGGTGTTTTGGTATGGCCACCATCCCAAGCTAAAACAGTTATTCTAATTTACTCATTATAAATGTAACACGAAATGATTCTTAGCAAATTTGTGTAGTTGTAGACAATCACTACAATCCAGTTTTAGAACACTTTCATCTCCTTGAAACATTTCCCTGAGCTGGCTTTCAGTAAGTCATTTCTACTGCCTGCTCCAAGCAACCATTAACCTGCCTTCTGATGGCTTTTTCTAGGAATTTATTATAAGCAAACACATACAAAGTGTGGTCTTGGTCTGGTTTTTTGGAATTAGCGTAATGTGTTTGAGTTCCATATTTTAGCTGTTTCAGGAACATGTTCCTTTTTACTGTTGAGCAGTGGTCCATGGTGTGAGCATACTACATTTCCTGTATCCATTCACTAGCTGATGTACATGAGGGTTGTCTCTTGTCTGGGGCTACTGTGAATAATGCCCTGGGAACGTTTGCATGTGTGTCATTGTGTGAAAATCATTTTCTTTCCAGACACTATAGTCACTCATTTAGATCACATTATTATACATGGTTTAAATTATTTTTAAGTGATTTGTATGTAATTTAAAAAATAAGCAGAAAGAAATGCCTGTTTTGTGGGAGTAAAGGCACTGTTTTGCTCATTAGTGTGTCTCCAGGTCCTAGGTGTCTGGCTTTATGAAAACAAATGTGGAGCTGGAGAGATGGCTCAGTGGTTGAGAACTTACTGCTCTGCAGAGGACCCAGGTTCAGTTTCCAGCACCCACATGGCAGCTAACAGTCACCCTTAACTCTGGTTTCAAGGGATCTGACACCTCCTTCTGGCCTCTGGTCACTGCACACATGTGGTGCACTTACATACACGCAGGCAAAACACTCATAAATAAATAAGTAAATAAATAAAATTTTAAGTGGGAGCCAGGCTTGGTGGCACAAGCCTGTAATCTTAGTACTTGGGAGTGGCGGCAGAAGGATCAGAAATTTGGGGCCATCCTCAGTGACATAGCCAGTTTGAGGCTAACCCGGGATACCTAACATCTTGTTTCAAGAAATAAAACTAAGAAATGTGAAATGAGTACTGCAGCACACCAAAAGATTAACTGCATTTGCCTTGGCTGAACATGTATAGGTAATATTTTTCCCTTCTATATTTTCCATAAGCAGAGTATATTTGCTTGACTAATACAAAAGTTAATAAAAATTATAATAATCACATACTAATAGTTCTTCACTTCTGTGGGGTTGGTTTTGTACATTTGGGTTTATGAAGGTGCTCTCTCCTGCCATTCACCCCTGAAGAGGGAAATGAAGCTCTCAGCTATAGTTGGGTTAGGTCATAGGGTCAATAAAGTCATCTTTTAAAAACATTTACTTTATTTTGAATTATGTGTCTATATATATGTGTCTCTGTGGGGGTATGTGCACATAGTACAGTGCCAGCAGAGCCCAGAAGAAGGTGTCAGATCCCCTGAGTTATAGGTGGTAGTGAGCTGTCCAATGTAGTTACTGGGAAGTGAACTCAGTCCTCTGAGCAACAAGTACCCTAAACTACTGAGCCATCTCCCCAGCTCCCTGAAGAATCATCTTTAACTTGAGCTTTAGGAAGCTATTTAGGTACTTACTAATGGGGCTGGACGAGCAGGAAGAAGAGAGAAAAGGTAGTTCTCACAAGCCAACTGTTGAGAGGTTCCGAAAGGGCAGCCAAGGTGTGGTCCAAGAACCAAGAATACCTGCATCAACTTTACTTATCAGAAATGCATATTCCCTGGCCCCACACTCTACCTATGATTCTAAACTTCTCAGATGAGACTTACTAATGGGTTTTTGTTTTGCTTGTTGAGACAGGGTCTCACTTTGTAATTCAAGTTGGCCCTGAACTCACAATGTAGGCCAGGCTGGCTTCAAACTTGTAGTCCTCCCTGTGTCAGCCTCCAGATGCTGGGATTGCAAGTACATGGCTCCACATCCAGCCCAGCTGGGTTTTCTTAGCAAACTCTCCATGTGACTTTCCATATGCTCTTGTTTGAATAATACTGCTCACTCCAGAGCATAACAACGATTTGCCTCTGAACCCAGCTACCAAAAGAACCCAAAGGAACACATTCAAACCATCTCCTCAAGTGTCCTGTATTGATGGATTCCATTTCTGTTTACCTGCTTCATTCTTGAGTACAGCCCCCTTACGAACTTTCTTGTACAGAATCCCACAGAGGGTCAGGATCAGAAGGAACAGCAACACTTGATTAACTGAAATAAAATGGAAGCACATCAACTTCAAACCACTGAAAAAAATCAGATGGCAGTGTAAGTAGATATACAGTGGGGTCTTTCACTGAGCCACAACATATGGGGTGAAGCGTTGACCTGGTACACTGTGGTAAGGATCAGCAGAGGAGGTATAGTAAGACCCAGCGCTAAACCCAGTCTGACAGCAGAGGACTCAAACTTAATCACCATGGGAGGCTGCCTTTGCATGAACATTTCATCTCATATGTGAAAGTCAACATTCCTTTAATGCTTTTTATGAGCCAGTGCTAATTATGAGCACATGTTTGTAAGTTGTCAGACCCAGTTGTATGTCAATTAATTCAAATACCAGTCAAGAAAAATGTGCAGAAATTCTTGCTCTGGGTAAAGGGTTAAAAGACCTCAGTCCTTCTAGTTCAAAGCCTCCACCTGTTCCACATTAGTGATGCTCTTGGGATCAACTGAGAAGTGGAACCATGTAGGACAGCATTTCTTAACTATGGAACATTTACTACTGGTTGTTGCTGAGATGACTGGGGACGTTTGTATTCAGAATTAAGTAATAATAAATCTTAGTATGAAAACTCCAGTCTCTGATTTCACATGCTGGCAAGCAACAAAAGCTACTCAAAACTGAACATTCTTCTCATTAAACTTATAGCTTTAATTTTGTATTTATTTTTATTTTATGTGTATGAGTGTTTTGCTTGCACCCATGTCATGCAATGCCCATCGAGGCCAGAAGAGGGTGTCAGATTCCCTGGAACTGTAGTCATGGAAGGTTGCTAGCCATAGTGTAGGTGTTGGGAACCAAACCTGGGTCCTCTGCAGGAACAGCCAGGACTCATAACTACTGAGCCATCTCTTTAGCCCCTGAATGTATTTTTTAAATGATCTTTTTATGGCAGGAGATAAGTCTTTTCTCATTTACAGAAAGAATAGAAACGTTCTATTATAACACATACTTACAAAGTTTAAACATGAATCAGTTTAAAGAAAAGTTTAAAAGTAATGCAGAGGACAGAAGGAATGTGCATGATGAAAAATGAGGAAGATGGTGTGTGGCCGTAAGGGTGGGCACAGGCCCAAGGTGTGGAACCTGTTGGAGAGCCAGTGTGTGTCTCAAACCTGTAATCGCCAGGAGGCAAAGACAGGAAGTTCTTGGTGAGTTTGAGGTCAGCCTGAGCTGTATACTGTAAGACAAAAGCTTAAAACAAAGAAAATGTTGGGAGGAAGGGAAGGTGGCGGAATTTAAAGTTGGGCTCAACCTCATTCCTACCGCCTCCTAGCTGTGTGTACTTAGCTTACTCAACTTCCTGAGCCTCTGTGAGCTCATCTGGTCAATGGGAGCAATAATAATAAGCATTACCTCACATTGTTGCTTTGAGAGTTAACAGAGGCAATGTAGATGCAATAAAGACTTTATAATTAAGTACCATTGCTTTTCTGCATGAAAATAATTTATTGGCCTTATACTGTCTTATTTTCTGCCCTGCTTCCTGCCCCCCCCCAGCTTTTGTCTTCCTATTTCTAAAACACAGGCCCTAGACAGTCTTAGATACATTCCTTCCAAAACTATATCTTGAGCCTCAGTGAGGTAACCTTGTTTGAGGTCCAGCTTTCCACTCTCCCTCCCACCATTTCTGGGTGAATTCAGCCACAGATAGCCACAAACTAGGGAGAAGCGAAAGGTAAAGGACAAAGTTTTATAGTTAACCATTATGAATGGTTAACACTCACCGGCCACAGCCATTTGGGAGGCAGAGTCAGATGGATCTCTGTGAGATTGAGGCCAGCCCTGCTCTACATAATGAGTTCCAGCCCAGAGGAGACTACAGGAAGACCTTTTTTCAAAAACTAAACAAACAATTCACTTGCTACTATGTTTGAAGAGGTGGCCAATGTCTAACCCTTCCGTGACTGTTACTACTGACATATACATAGGGTTGTTAGACTTTAAAAAAATTAGATTAAGGGGCTGGAGAGATGGCTCAGCAGTTAAGAACACTGACTGTTCTTGCAGAAGACCCAGGTTCAAATCCCAGCACCCACATGGCAGCTAACAACTGTCTGTAACTCCAGTTCTAGGGGATCCAACAGCCTCTTCTGTCCTCTGCGGGCATTGCACAACACGGGTGCACTTACCTACATGCAGGCAATACACTCATACACATAAAATAAAAATAATAAAATATGAAAAAAATTAGATTATGTCCCCTACAATATTTGGAACACATACTAAAAAAAATTATTCCTTGTTTATGTGAAGCTCAAATTTAACTGGATGCCATTTGTTTTCATGTAAATCAAGCAACTCTAATCTGAGAGTAATAGTGACCACATTGGGGTGCTGTGTTTCCCCAAACTCACACCCTTTTGTTCTAAAACCAGGAGAGAATGTAGGTTTTAAAAAGGCCTGAAGGGGGCTGGAGAGATGGTTAGCCACAACTGTCTGTAACTCCAATCCCAGGGATTCTGAATCCCTCTTCTGACCTCCATGGGCATTGCATGGCATGGGTGCACTTACATGCATATAGGCAATATACTTATACACATAAAATAAAAATAATAAATAAAGGGGCTGGAGACATGGCTCAGAAGTTAAGAACACTGTTCTTGCAGAAGACCCAGGTTCAAATCCCAGCACCCACATGGCACCTAACAACTGTCTATAACTCCAATTCCAGGGGCTTTGACAGCCTCTTCTGCACTCATACACATAAAATAAAAATAATAAATAAAATTTTAAAAAGTAAATAATTTAAAAGGTCTAAAGATTCCCTTAAGAACAAGAATGCAAAGTTAAAAATCCTTAAACATGAATATGAATACTTATTTGGCATGAGTAAATAGGTTATAACTGAAAGTTTTATAGAAATATGTGATCCATGATAATATATGACTCACAGCAAGTCTGCTCCTAACCAAAATTTTAGCATCATCCCATAGGAATCAATGTGAAATGATACCAGAAATTGCCTGTTACAAAATGATCCATGAGGGGCCTAGGGAAAAGGCTCAGCAGTTAAGAGCACTGTCTGCTCTTGCAGAGGACCCGGGTTTGATTCCCAGTGCCCACATGGTAGCTAACAACCAACTCCAATTCCAGGGGATCCGATGCCCTCTTCTGACCTCTGTGGGCATTGCACAACACGGGTGCACTTACATACATGCAGGCAATACACTCACACATAAAATTTTAAAAATAATGAATAAAATATTTTACAACTTTTTTAAAGGTGGAATCTTACTTTTTCGTAACAGAGCCATGTGTGTTCACCTGGATAAGAACTGGGACCTGTGGATTGAAGAATAAAATATTGCTTAAGAGAAAATCAACAAGTTATCAAGTTTTAAGAACTGCATTTTCCTTAAAAATCTGATATGTTGTAAAGTGTGTATCACTTTTATAATTCTGGATCTGGAATTTGGGGAAGAAAATAGGCATTTTTTGTATGTGATCTTAGTTTCTTTCCCTGTTGCTGTGATAAAATATCTTGACAAAAGCAACTTTTGAGAGAAAGTGCTTATTTTGGCTCACAGTTCAAGGGCACAGTCCTTCATAGTGGGGAAATCAAGGCAGCAGGAGCTTGGAGCAGCTGATCACATCACATCCACAGCCAGGAAGCAGACAGTAATGAATACTGTGCTCAGCTCACTTTCTTTTTACACAGTCCAGGATTCCGGCTCAGGGAATAGTGCTACCCACAATGGGCAGGTCTTCCAACCTCTATAAACTTAATCAAAATAATCTTCCATAGGCAGCGACAGAGGCCTGTCTCCCAGGTGATGGTAGATCTCATCAAGTTGACAGTTGAGATTAACCTTCATGCATGTCAACACACTTCTTCCAAGAGCAAATCTTCTAACTGAACTTAAAAGGGTCCAAACGGGTGATCATTTCTCTTCAGGTTTTTTTAACACTCTGAAGAAAGAGCCCCATTAGCTTTCTTGGCCAGCAGAGTAAATGGAACTACACAGAAGTATCACAAGGAGAGCTCTTGGATCTACAATACGAACCCTGTGCCTGTCTTTTTGCTTTTTTAATGAATGAAAATTCTTTGATAAGGAAATGTTTCCATCTTCAAGATTCCTTGGTGGAAACAGACCATCCTTGATGAGGCATACTTTATATTCAAGCCAATCATTCATTCATCCAGCATTTGTTGAGCTCTTACTAAAAGCCAGGCATTGTGATGTGCTAAGGATGCACCAATGGACAAGATGGTCCTGGTCCCCATCCTCAAGGAGCTTTCAGTCCAGTGGGGAAAACAGTTAAGACATTAACAAGTTATCAGGGCTCGAGAGATGGCCCAGTGATTAAGAGCACTGGCAACTCTTGCAGAGAACCTGGGTTCGGTTACCAGCACCCATATGGCAGCTAGCAACTCTGTTAACTCTAGTTCCAGGGGCTCCGAAGCCTGGTTTCTACTGGTCACAGTCATACATACTGCAGTTACTAGTGTGAGGGTTTGGATTGGTTTGGTTTGTGGGGTTTTTTTTTTTTTTTTGCTGTTTTTGTTGTTTTTTTTTTTTTTTTGCCTACAATATCAATATAAGTGGAACAATTTCAGTTGGAGATAAGTAAAAATATACCCCTTTTCTTGTTTAACTACATAAAACCCATTTGAAATTTACCCATACACCTTTCAGGACTATGTGCCCAGGCTAAAGGTTGGAATTGTTGGGCAGATTCAATAGACACATGGATTACAGTGGCACAGAAAGGCAATACTGTGTTTAACACTTAGAGAAACTGCTGCTCTTAACTGCTAGGCCATCTCTCGAACCTCAGTTGATGTTCTTACAAAGTTTACATGGAACAGATTCTGTAACCAGCATGTCCCTCTGAAACAGGCAATCAAAATGGATAGCAGCTAGAGATAGGTAGAACAGACCCATGCTGTTCCAACCAGCGGCAACTTGGGAGCCTAGAGAATATCAAGTAAAATGAATGTACAAGAGTCAAGCACATGAACAGTGAAGTCCAAGAGATCACACACACACACACACACACACAGATGCACACACAAATGCATGCACATGCACACACGCATATGTACACACACAAATACACATGTACACACACATACACATGCACCACTGTGCACATGGATACACACACACACCCTGCATGGTTATTTAGCTAACCACTAAGAGCTTCAACAATCATACTATCACCTGTTCTTATTTTCCATCCATTCAGCTTTTCACGTGCAGTTCTTTTTATTTTGTGTGTATGAGTGTATTGCCTGCATGTTTGTAAGTGTACTGTGTCATGCAATGTCCATATAGGTCAGAAGAGGGCATTGGATCCCCTGGAACTGGAGTTACAGACAGTTGCTAGCTGCCATGTGGGTGCTGGGAATGGAACCTGGCTCCTCTGCAAGAGCAACCAAGGCTCTCTCTTTTTTTAAAAAATATTTTCTTTATTATTTTTATTTTATGTGTATACGTGTATTGCCTGCATATAGGTAAGTGCACCCATGTCATGCAATGCCTGCAGAGGACAGAAGAGGCTGTCGGAGCCCCTGGAACCAGAGTTACGGACAGTTGTTAGCTGCCATGTGGGTGCTGGGATTCAAACCCCGGCCTTCTGCAAGAACAACCAGTGTTCTTAACTGCTAAGCCATCTCTCCAGCCCCGCAACCAATGCTCTTAACCACTGAGCCATCTCTCCAGCTCCCTCACATGCAGTTCTTGGCATCACAAATTCGATTCTAAGAGGCCCAACAACTAGCTAAAGTAATTCCAGAAATAGCTTTGTTTTTATGTTGTTTGTTTTTGATAGGGTTTTGCTATGTAGTCCAGTCTGGTCTAAAACTTGTGTTCCTTCTGCCTCTAACTCCCAAGTGCTGAGATTATAAGCATGCATCACCATATTCAACAAGGGACAATTTCTTTTTTACATGTACATATATTTTTTAAATTTTATGTGTATGAGTGTATTGCCTGCAAGTATGTGAATGCACCGTGTCGTGCAATGCCGCGGAGGTCAGAAGAGGGCTTTGGATTCCCCTGGAATTGGAGTTAAGGATGGTTCCTAGCCATCATGAGGGTGCTGGGAATCAAACCCAGGTCCTCTGCAACCGCAGTCAGTGCTCTTAACTGCTGAGCTCTCCAGCCCCAGGGACAATTTCTTTTAACAAAACAGGTCAACTGCTTCTTCAAAGAACTAGAGTTGGCCTTTAGAGAACAGTTTCTCTGCTACATGTTAACAGATATCAGCATGATCATCACCTGGTTCCCTAACTTAGCTACCATGAGCTTCCAGATCAGAAAGATTGCTTCACCCAGGGCAACACAACTGGTGCTGTGTGAGCGACGTCCAAGGTGCCTTGTTTTTGCTGCTTTTGTTTTTGTTTGAAAGGGCTTCCTTCCTGTGACACATTTACCAAAGCTACATTTATCAAATCAGCTTCAAAATCTGATGGTGTGATTTTAATGTTTTAAAATGTGCATAACGGGCTGGAGAGATGGCTCAGCAGTTAAGAGCACTTACTGCTCTTTCAGAGGACCCGGGTTCAATTCCCAGCACCCATATGGCGGCTACGAACTGTCCTTAACTCCAGTTCCAGGGGAATCCGAAGCTCCTTCTGACCTCTGCAGCATTGCACAACACGGGTGACCTCACATACATGCAAGCAATACACTCATATACAAAATAAAATAATAAATAAAAAAAATTTTTTTAATGTGCATAACATTAGAATTCACTTTTCTGATTGTGTCAGTCTATGAATCTCAACACTTGCATAAATTCTTTTTCTTTGTCTTTTAAAAACAGATTCATATAAATTGTATATATGTAGGGGTGCCATGTGATATTTTAATACATGATACATTTTTAAATGTTCAAATCACACTAAATATATGCATCTCCTCAATTTTCATTTATTTATGCTGAAGACATTCAAAAATCCTTTCAACTTTAAAAAAATAACTTCAGGGAGGAAGAGACCTTAAGGGAGGTAGGGGAGGGGTTAATGGAATATGTGCTGCTCGAAAGTAGAGGGGAGACTCTCTGCGGAAGGAATGGAACTAGTCAGAAGCGGGCAGGGGCTCAGGAAACACAGTGAAGGAGGGGCCAAGTGAGAACAAAGTACAATCGCACATGTATGAAAATTCCATAATAAAACCCATTACTACTTTGCATACAACTTAAACATTAATTTGAGGGGCTGGAGAGATGGCTCAGTGGTTAAGAGCACTGGCTGCTCTTGCGCAGAACCCAGGTTCAGTTCCCAGCACCCACATGGCAGCTAACAACCTTAACTCGTAACTCCAGTTCCAGGGGATCCAATGCCCTCTTCTGGCCTCCTCCAGCATTACATGCACATGGTGTACTTACATTCAGGCAACACTCATACACATAAAACTTAAATTAAAAAATTGAAAAACATTAAATTGAAAGATTAAAATTTAAAAGTTCAGTACATTGTCTTTATTTATAGTTACCCTAAATCCCAAAGATTTTCCTGCCACCAGCCTCTAGCCCTTGGCACACTGATCTGTTATGTCTCTAGAGTTCTGCCCTTCCCAGAGTATCATGCAAGTGGAAGCATACAGCCTGTAATCTTTTGAGACTCTCTTCTGAACCTGGTGTGGTATAACATGCCTTTAATCCCAGCACTTTGAAGGCAGAGGCAGAGGTAGGTGGATCTCTGTGAGATCAAGGCCAGCCTGGTCTACATAGCAAGTTCCAGGCCAGATGGGGCTACAGGGAGAATCTGTCCCAATAAAAAAAAACAGGAGTTGAGACCCTCTTCTTCTTTTCTTCCCTTACCATAATACATTTGGGATTCACATGTGGTATTTGTGCATATTAAGATTACTTTTTTGTGGCTAAATACAATTCCATTGTATGGAATATTTACCCATGCACCCACTTAAAGACTTGGTGTTGTTTCCAGTGTTCTGTGATTGTGGATAGTGCTTCTATAAACACTTGTGTGCAAATTTTTGTGTGAATGTGAGGGAAAATACCCAGAAGTGCCATAGCTGAGTCATTTGGTAGTTGTGTCCTTAACTTTTTAAGAAACAGCACATCTGTTTTCCTGACTGGAAACATTTTCATTTTGCATGCCCACTGACAAGGTAAGAGACTTGCTCTGTGTTCTCATTACCACTGTAATCAGTTTTTTTTTTTTTTAATTTTAACTGCTCTACAGGATGCTGTGATTTGAATTAGAGTTTCCTAATGACCATTGATATTCAGCATCTTTTTATGTGTCTCTTTGCCACATTCAGATATAGTGAAGTGTCTTTAAATCTTCTTCGCTATTTTTGTAAGATTGT